GTTTGACTTTCGATCTCAGACATCCACATGTGCAGTTGCTGTATTTTTTCCTTGACTAGGAACTGAGGGAACGAAAATTTTGTGATATTTCTCAAAGCGTGCTGAGCCGTTCTTGCATATGCGATTCTCCACTACCCTAATTAAGTATGACTGTAGGTATTTGACCTATTCCGAGCGATGGTTTTCGAGAAATGTCGATTTTAGCACTGAAACTGATGTGAGAAGAAATAACAAATCTAATATTTCTCGAAAACAACATACAGTTCAGAAGATCTAAAAAATCTAAGTTATGATTAATTATCTGGACGAATATCATGGAAAATTTTCATTTCCTACCATTTCTGGTCAAGGAAGAAATATAGCAGCTGCACATGTGGATGTCTGATACTGAAAAGAGTGGGAGTTTTGTTGGAATAATTATTTAGAGGGACATCCGATTTTAGGCGATTTTTTGGGCATTTAGATTCTTTTAGATTATTAGTTCAAGGGGGGTGGGGGCGTGGGCCAAACTTGGCGCGTGAAATAATGGATGCCAGCTTGTAGATCTTGCTTTGCTCTATTGAACAGCACCCCATACCCTTTCCGGTTGGGCGTGTTGGTTTGCTAAAGCAAGCAAATAAATAACGACATTATATTATTGACAACCTAATACAATGACTCTAGCGCCTCAGAATAAATACTTGCTTGCAAAATTTCTTAGCTTTTATCTAAAGCACGGTAACTGATTTTATCAATTTTTCAAGCACAATCGGAAGGTGTTCCTATTTTGATTATTTGTGTACGAAATACAAATTATGTTCTGTTTCACGAAAGGTTTCGCTTCCAAATCCTAGCAAACTCACTGTTTTTTCACATCGACTTTTTTCATGAACACCGCGTCACCGGGGCCCCTCATGCCACTAGGTGAACCAAGGGTAGGGTATAGTCTGTCCCTGTAGTCACGGCGTCCTAGACCGATGGGATTTTGTCCTAGACCGATGGGCTTTTCGCGCAATACGTGGACTTCCTTCTTCATAGAACGTTCCTCGCGCAGAGCAGCCACGTTCAGGTTCAGCACGGACAAGAAGAATAGCAGAATAATGCACTTCATCCTGATGTAAGCTGCTTCTGATTCGACAACTGCAAAAATTGCGAGTTAAATCGAAAATTATTATATGCAGATAATTTGATTCAACCAGATAGGCAGCTGGAAAGCGGGGTTTCGTGACCTAGTTAAGGCTAGAGAGTGATCAGGAGATCATGCGCACGGGAAAGACGCAGATGCGGCGCGGGCGCGAGCGGTCGCCACGCTGGTGCGAGTGGTCGCCCTTCTAGCCCCCTATTCAGTTGAAACAAAGGATAGGTGCAGTATGAGGCAGTATGGTCCGATGTCTCTAACTCAAAGATGATTTGAAAGACGAAGGAAATGAAGATAACTGTAATGGTAAACAACTATAGATTTTGTGTTTTCCAACTTCTGTGCAAACCTGTTTTGAATTTTTGAAAACCTAAATCTTGCCTACAGAGCTGTGAGAGATAGTTTTTTTGGAAGATGGCCCTCAGCGAAAAATGGTTTCTACAAAAATCATTTGCTACCTTCAAGATACTTGATAATTGTAATTGTTCCCAAAATTTTGGGATATTGGATTTTTTGTTTCGCCTATCTTGCCAGTACTTTTTCATATTAATGTTAAATAAGCTTTGCTTCGCTTGTCTCTTTCTCTTGGAAAATTGAAGAAATTGTCCTATCTCTTGCCACAATTTTGGGTGCCTTTTGGTGAACAATAATATCTTCGATAAATATTTTAGAACATGTTTGCAAGGAAGTTTGGTTGTACTTTCGGCAATTCTCTCTACATTTTCGACAAACTTTCGCATTTTATACTATTTGAAAAAGCAATTTGCTTTGTATCAATCAACTAAAGTTTCGAAAGCTGTTTATCTTCAAAAAGGATGAAGCATATGATTACATAGGTTTCAGCGAGGACGATAATAAAACTTAGTGGATCAATATAGCTGAGACAACTTTTTGGGGAGGGAGGGAGGGTTCTCAAGTTTATTGAATCGAAAACTTTTTT